TCTACCCTTGTTGATCGTGTTTTACGACTTGAGGGTGCGAAACTGTGTTCTGCAGAAGATGAGTGATGCTTATCATAGCCCCCATTTTCAAGTCTAAAATTAGGAGCTCCCCTCTCTTGCTCGTTCCAGTTATCATGTTCAGAGTCTTCAACATTCACTTCTAAAGACCCCATCTCTTCATTACCAGATTTGCTCAGGTTTTCTGACATTGGATGGGATCCACTCGGAAAATAATGGGTAAATGGTGGAGACACAAAGTTTTGCGGAAATTGCATATTGGTACTCCAAGGTGTTTCCATGAAAGGAAGGTTAGAAGGAACAATACCAGGCACATTCCTATGACCATATCCCATTGAAGCTAACACGGCAGGTGTCATTTGAAACGGTAAGTGGGGGCCAGTAGAAAAATTAAAAGGAAAAGGGAAGTGTCCATTAAAACCTTGCCCGGTAACATACGTTATCGAGTTAACAAGATCTTGCTCTTCCTGTTGCATTCCCTGTTCCCCTGTGGCAGAGAACTCTTCATTCACAGAAACTGAACCTAAATCATCACAATAACTGTTCACTGCACTACTCATGTCAACAGTACTATCAGGACTTCGAGGGGACGGTGTATGCCTAACTGAAGATGAGTCAGCCGCATTTCTGATACTGCTTGACAAACTCTCAGACTCTAGATTTTTTTCCTTGATACTATCAGCCCTCGTGGAATTAGTTGGGCGTTTTCCAGCTTCTGAGGCTCTACTACGCCTTGCTGGCAAAAGAGCTTCACCACACGTATCAGTAAGCTCAGGGCTAGACCGTGTCCTGGCAAAGAGATGCCTTCCATGAAAATTATTCACCATGATTTCTGGCTTAACAGTTTGCTGAAGCTTACCATTTGAGGCATTTTGATTAGACCGAACTTCCTGAGAAAGTTGGTAAGAGTTACCACAGTTCTTCTGGGTTTGATACGTTGTTTTAGATATAACTTCCGTTCCACCGTTTTTCTGTCGAGAGGGCATACTGGGAGGGGCGGAATTTTGGTTTCTTTTGCTGCTTGAAGAATCACTACCATTTTCAGCTTGAAGACAAGGCTCAGGATCTCCGAGTCTTGATAACCATAGATCATTTCCAGGAGCATCAGGACGACGACCACTGCCATGTCTTTCCCATGTATTCATAAAAAAATGGTTAACCTCATGGATCAAATTCTCCTTAGGGCACTCAAGTAACCTAGCCAACTTCTTCGCACCAAGAGCAAATGCACTTCGTATCCTAAAGAAGTTACCTGCAAAAACAATTGTACAAAAAAAAAAAATATCCAAGTACGTAAGTAAATCAACCTGTTTGGGCATCTTCTAGCTTCATACAGTATAAATAACAGAACACCTTCAATAAGCTACCAAGGCCAGATATGTATTAGCGTTCAACTATAAAAGCACATATTATCTGAAACAGGGAGCACCTTTACTGACACTGCGTCCAAGGTTGTTGTTTTCACGCAAAGGGTCTATAACATTGAAGTGTTTGGCAACAAAGGGAAGTCCTTGTGTCTCTTGAGCAACAGGGTTAACTGCATAAGCTCTACTACAATCTTTAAGAAACACTTGGCTCTTTCCTAACTCTCCAACATCTTTTCGAGGAGGCTCCGCTGCGAAACATTGCATAGCAAGACAGTCAGTTCGATGCACAATCAAAAAAAAAAATGTGAGATGAAAGGCATTTTACAAAATACCTGTAACATCTGGTAGTGAACTAACTGGAACAGGACCCCATAGGCTAATACAAAAATTCTGCCAATCAAACTTACTAAAGAACTCAAGAAAACGATAGAGAACCTACAAAAAAACGCAAGCAATCCAGTCAAAAACGAACAAAAGACAAGTTTCGTAGTAGTATCACACTGACTATTACCTCAAGGGGACCAGAAAATGAGTTGTTGAAAACATGAAATATGTAAAGAACCAAGGTCTCAAGAGCATATGTTGAGATAAGCCCATGGTGAGCTCCCAAAATCCGGCTCTCGTAATAACACCAAGCTTTAATCAATATGATACTACGCTTGAACAAATGGTTCTGGTTTATAAACAAATCAGCCTACACAAATAAAGAGGGGATATATAAAATCAAATAATCTGCTAAATTCAGAAAGAGAGGAATGTTAGTAGCTAACCTCCTCAAGGAAGCATAGAGTACACAAACCTCCAATCTGATTAAAAGAGATATCAACCACAATGTTCTCCACCAGACACTTAATTAACTTCACCTGAAAACAAACACTTAAATTAATAAAACACTCATGAGAATAATCACTAAATGTACTGGATATCTATCATACTTACTTCTGCTTGAATGTACTGGACTTCCTTAACACGAAACTCAGCGTTTTGATTCTTCTCTTCCTTCTCAAGCATATCACGAACCAAATTAGCCCATGAATCCTTCAAGCTTTGGTTCGTGCTAAAGGCCGTTAAATCAATATCTCCATCAGGTAAATAAGTCTTCAACGGAACCGATCCAAATGTAAAGATCTAACAAAACAAACAAACAATTAAGTGATAGTTAAAGTCACTTATCATAACAATAATACGAATCAATTCTCACAATTCACACCTCAACTTGGAGAGGAGGGAAGCATTCCATGATAAGTCTCCGCACGTATCTCGCAACGGCGTTTCTGCGGTTTTCCGAAGGAGGATTCGGCTGGATGCAAGCGATTAGCTTAGCGGTTACATCCTCCGCCTTGGACCATCGCTCCGCGTCGAGGTGACGTGTCACCGATGCAGCCTTCCCCGGCAATAGCCCGTTCGGAGAAACCGCCAATGATTCATTTTCACCCATGCGATTTCGATTTTTGCAGAGCTTCTAGAAATCTAATCAGAGACTCAGCGCTAAACCGTTACGATTGGTATCGAGAACAAACCTAATCGGGTATGAGCCGAATTGTCGTTGGATCTAAGGGCAACATTAAAAAAAAAAAAAAGTTAGTGGTGGGAATCTACAAGGGTTTTTTACCATTAAAAAAAAAAGTAAGAGAGAGGGAGTAAAAGAAGCTATTGGTATAAACTTTTACAGAGATAAAAGCAATTTGAATAAGTATCCCCTAATAGTAAGAGTGAATTGGCCCAATATACCCATTACCTAACAAAATGAAGTAACTACCCGTTTGAAACAAAACCCACTGAGACTATTATCCAATGATCTTAATAATTTAGGATTTGATTATAATCTGAACTACATCCGAAGATTTCTGAAATTAATATACTATGTTAATATCTATATATATAAAGTATTGTTCACTCTCTCTAGGGAGTGCCACATCACTAAATAGAATAAGGATAGCCCTCCACGTGTCTATTTATTTTGTTAATGGGTTTCAATGTAATTGTTTCGTTTGTTATGTTAACTGTTTAAAATTTTTGGGCTTTAGAAACCCAAAGACAAGGTGACGATGTTTGACGTAAAATAGGGATTTTTGTTAAAGAGTAAATTACAATGGAGATTCATCGATAATGTTTAATGGCTAACTCCGTTGCCCAAAAAAAAAGAAAAGGCTAACTCATCAATTCTTCTTGCTGCTTTGAAGACTAGCAGCTGTTCTTCCACCGTCCGTGTGATTGCTCAGGTTCTCTCTTATGGGTTTTTAATTTTTCTTCTTTCAAAATTACATCTTCATTTGATTGACTCATGTGTTGTTCGCATGAATCCAGGATCGTAGCTCTGTCGTTCACATGGTTCATCAAGACCCAAACTATTCATATTCTCGAGTGTTTCTCGGTGATTTGAAGGTCGGCCGTTGCAACTCCACCGTTGATGTGCCTCTCCTGAGATTTTGGGAGGCCTGCAATGTAAAGAAAGTCGACGAGCTTATGTGTGTTGACACGCTATTTCCGGGGAGAAAACACATTACCATCAGCTTCTAATTTCATGTAGAGTTTATACTTTCCAATTTCATACAAAAGCCCTTTATTTTGCTTTTTCTGACTTTCACTTCATCCGTCTGAAACCCTAGAAGACATACCTAAGTGACAGCGAGACAGACCAAGTCTGAAATATTTTTTCCTCCTCTCTTTCATGGTTTTATTTCTTCAACTTATAACATATTTGTTACTGAGCTGGGAAGCACTGTTCTCTTTTGTAGATGCTGCCAATGGTTTAGGGTCTCTAAGATCTTTCAATGGAACCCTTTTGAATAAAGCCTAAACATTTGTTTATATTGTCGAATCACTTGATGAATGGTTCCTGAAGGTATTGTTTTTGTTGTTGTTGTTATTGCAGTTATTTTGTCGAAGACAAACAAGAAAAGAAGGGAGGGAGCAGAAGGACAATATTTTTAATGGAATCAGAGATACTGTCAAAAAATATAACCCTTTCCAATTTTTCTCTTTTGAAAACATGAGAAATATCTTATTCAAGGAGTTCAGACAACAATCTAGAGTCTCTAGACACAATGGAAGGTCTGTTTCTTTGTTTTTTTTTTGTAGTTATGAATAGCTGGGTGCTGCTTGAATGTAAGTGAGATTAATATGTCACATTCAGTCTTTGATTTGAATTTTGGTTCCTATTTGTTCAGGTTCTTTGTCAGCTAGAACAAAGGGATACAGTTTACTCTCAGTCGTTCTGCTTCTGATGAAATCCATCATTCCATCTTTAAAGCCTCCAAGGTTGTGTACTCTGCTTCTTACAATAGCTGTTTTATATTACGAGGCCAGTTGCGTTTTCACATATGTTTTGGAGTTTTATTTCAGCTGCTTCATGGTGTTAATGAACTGCTCATTACGCTACCAAAGAAAGATGTTGGAAGGTATCATCTCTCTCTCGAAAACCTCTTTTTCCCATCTTGCTTTGGTAAAAACAACAGTGAAAAGCTTAAACTGTATCCATCTCTCTCCTGGCTTTCCTATATCTTTGTTGTAACTGTTTCTTTTTTTTTTCTTTTTTTTTTTTTGTCACGATTGTAACTGTTTCTAAATGCTTATTCTGGTTATCATTGCAGCTATTTGACGTTTTGGAGATTCTGACTTTACAAGGACTTAAAGCACTGAAAGGTTTGTGACTAAAACTATTGCCAGCTTGCTAAACAAACAAGCTTGCTTGCCTGTGTTAATCTTCATTACCGTTTTGGTACAATTGATTGACCAAGTTGAACTGAAGGGAGGTCTTCCAAAACAGTTCACACATGAACTGGAACCATTTCTATGGAAGCAAAGTATGCCAGTTCGTCTCAACAAAAGCTGTATCTTCCCACTTTTAGTTACCCTCTTCTCATTCACAAAATTAATTTATTTTCTTGATTCGTTATGTAGGTACGTGATGTTGAGCATATTACAGTCAAATGGAATGGATCCCAGCCAATAATCCGTTTGCAACCACAGTTAACAATATTAATCAAGACTTTGCTCAGAAAAATGTCTATCAAAAGGACGGTGTTCCTTTCTGGCTTCGTGCTGAGCATGAAGCTATGCAGAGAAATCTTGATGCCTTACAAAATGAAAGTTTTTTTCTTTTGCAGACAATCAATAAATTTCAGGAAATAATGATTGTTGGGTCGAATTTTACAGGAGAAGTTGAACATTCTGGGGCATTAACAGTCAAAATGCCAGATATTTTTCAGAGACCATACATGTTACGCACTTAAGAAGACACGCAAGGCCTAGCTGCTCAAGTTAGCAAATGCACAGGCCTCCTGCTTTCTATCAAGCTTGGTTTCTTCTCTTTTTTTTTTAAAAGCAACTTTTGGTTTAGTCATATGTTTACAACTTATTCGATCAACAAAATAATATTTTAACTTATATCACTCTATATTGATAGCCAGATGGTTTAAAGTTATGGTTATGATCTAATTAAAATAAATTTTGCTGAACACACGTTATCTGGTTAAACAAATAAGATATCTGGATCATTTTTCAAAAAAATAAAAATTAAATTAAATTAAAACTACCTAATTAACCATTTATTTATATCTGTTTAATTTTAAATAGCCATTGAGTTGGAAACCCACTAATATATGAGAAGCTGACTGAAGGAGAACGCTGAGTAAGTTAGATGATATGATTTCTTTGGTGAAAGTATTTGATGAAAATCAGTGTCCTTTTCTTTTCAGTTTCCAAATGCTTAAAAATGTAACTAAATTCTATATTTTATTAATAGGAGGCTTAGGCATAATTTTTTTTTTTGTTTCTGGTAAATAAAAACAATGTTTCTGATATAAAAAAATCCAGATAAAAGAAAATAAGATAACTTTTTCTACAAATTCAAAATATACAATTAGTAGGTTTGGTAAAAAATAGTGTTCAACTTATAAAAAAGAAGATTGTTAATCCATATAAAGCTTCAGAGATAACAAATCTACTGAGTAACATGCAAATAATAAATCAGCTAATATAACAAAAAGTATATTCATTACAAAAACAATAAAATGAATGTTTGACATTTTTTTTAAGTAAGCACTTCTTTTTCAACTATAGTTCCGCATTAAGTATAAATATAAATAATGGTAATTACATTAATCACAGTTCATTCTGAAAATGTACATCAAATTCATTAGTACACACAACTATTTTTATGAGTAGTTATACTTAAGATAAAGTTACAATTATAAAATAATTCAATTAATTATTATAAAAACATTTACCATAAAAACAAAATAATCTTTCTGTATGATGAGCCTAGAGACACACCAAACAAAGGAAAATTACTTAAAGATATTATCTTTGATAAGAATAAAAAAGATTATTTAAGAACTTAACCTACGAAAAGAAGAAACTGAATGACAAAACACACTAATAAAACATTGTTTACCCACTTTTAATGTATCCATCATTTTTTAAAAGTAGTAGCAAAAATCATTAGTTATAAATTCTAAATTATCAAGTACAAAACTATGACTTGCAACAAATAATTTAACTCGACTTTCACACTCCACCAAATTAGACATAACGTTCAAAGATCTACAATTATTTCTCCAAATCATTTTATCATAATTATTTGTTTAATCAATTTAATTGGTTATACATATTATAATATTTTACATCAAAATTTGTAGATAAAGAAGATTTAGATAATGGATCCGATTAGTTTAAGCTTTCTTATCTAAAATATGATTTTTTAAAATAGTTGATTTAAAAAAAAAGTACAACATAAAACTATAGGGTTATAGATTTAAAAGGAGGGTCACTAAACAACTTGAAAAAACAAATTATTATCAGTATTAAGTGAAATGAAAGTTGGAACATTTATACAGTTCAACCAATTAAACACCATAACTATAAATTAATAATTTTTGTTTATTCTACTTACCATCTTATATATAATTTATAATAAAAATGGATAGTAGAAATTTTGAAATGCATAAAAAATAAACAAAGAATAATTTAAAATGATTTTATAATTGTTTAGCTATTTATATTTTATAATATTATAAATAAAATAAACACACAAAATATATAATCAAAAATTAAATTTAAACAAAAAAACCCGGGCGTAGCCCGGGCCGACCCTAGTACTTTTATATATGAAGGTAATTTATATAAATTAATATACTATGTTAATATACTTTTATATATGAAGGTAATTTATATATTTTATTGTATTCCAAAGATTTGGGAGAATTTCAATTATACCATCAACAAAGGAACATTTTCAAAAATACACATTTCTGGCAATTTCCCCAAAGATTTTTGTAGTTTGTTTAATTTTTTGTTTTGAATATCATTTAGTTAGTTTAGATAGTTTAACTAAATTTTAAATTAGATTTACGGATAATTTAAATATTTTGACAATTTTTGTCAATTTTGAGGTTTCAGATTTTGGTTATAATCTGATCCAAATCAAATTCAGAAGGAACCAAATCGGAACTGATCCTAATTACTAAAACTTGAATGGGTCTTAAAAGCTTAATACCAAAAATTTAAAAATACGAATCAATCGAACCAAAACCGATGGATCCTTAAATACCCAAACATATGATATATTTAAGAGATCAACATTTGTATTTGTTATTTTACAATCGATAAAGATTATAGTGTTACAAAATGTTAAAATCGAACAAACATTAATATAAAAAATTCACTCCGCGCTTATGCAATAATAGTAATATAATATATATATATATATATATATTTACAAATTACAATGCTATAATTTTTTGTTTTTTTAAAAAAAGATTTGATATGTATTATGTTTTTGATATAATTTTATAACAAATTATAAATAAATATTTATCAATTTTATAAATATTTGTAGTTCACCTTGTTTATACTCTTTGATTATACTAAGCATTGCTTAGTGGGCCAAGAGCCATTTAACAAGAACCAAATTTGAACCCCCTAATAATAACCCACTAATTCTCTAACTTGCCCAAGTTAGAGAAGGATTTTTAAGTAATCGACGGAGGGAGAATATTCAATTGATCCAAGCTTCGAATAAAGCGGATGATCGGTGAAGACGCGAGTTGCATGCGTCCACTCTATTCATGTTTGAAATTTTGGGTCAATGATCAAAAGACTAAATAACATAAACAATGTTGCTAAGTCCGGTCTTCATCCACATAAAGATTTAGGTGCCAACACTCTTAATCATTACTACTACTTATCCTATCAAAACCCCATTTTAAAGTAAAAATAAAAACCCTATGATGACCTGAAAAAATCTCATTAAAAAGTGACACAACATGGCTTCACTCTGGATTCTTATTTAGAACGCCATCCTAGGATCCACAACACCAGAAGCATTGCCTTCACCAGTTACAAGCTGTTCAGGATCCTGAGAGAATATACAATTATCGTTTAATCTTCCTCCATAACTGTGTTTATATAGATGGTAAAAGCTGATTATATACATACCTCCATTCCCCATTTGATGTAATCTGGAGATTCACAGGCCTTGTACTCGTCTACCAAACTCGCAATGATGTCTCTTGCTTCATCAAACTCTGAGAGATCATTGTCCTGTCCATACCACCCATAATCAATAGTCAAAGCTTTGGTGCAATAAACACAAAAGAAAAAAAAGACGAAAAATTTAAACGGTCAACTTACAAACATGGGAAACTTTCTGTAATTGTCAAGGAAAGCTTGCTTCTTCCTCAGTTTATCATATTGGCTCAAACATTTGCTGAAAAGGTGTCTTATACTTGTGTGGCTTGCTAACATAAGTCCACTGACCTGAAATATCAAATACACAACAATAATGTAAGAGTCTTTAGTCGCATCTTGGTACTAGCAACCTAAGATATATATATGGAACAACGTATGATTGAATACCCTATGTGCAGTTTGAACATATGGAGACTTCTTGGAAAGTGCAACCTATCAAGAAAAAAAAAATGTGATGCAAGTCCATGGCCAAGTCAGAAGCAATAACTCTATGCAGACACAGTTTGATTAGAACCTGTATGCTTGCAGGTCCCCACTCAATGAAGTTAACGAGCTTCCTTTCTCGTATCCTCTGCAAACTCTCATGCACCTAGTGAAACAAACAAACACATCAACAAAGACAGAACCAACCGGGAGATAAGTCTGACAAGAATGGCAGAGAGGTTACCTGAGTGGGATCGACTTCTCCTTGAATAATATTCAAGATTGATATGTACTTTGCCTGACTAGCTTCCTTGTTTCTAGCATAAGACGACACCATCACATTCTTTGGCTGCAAGAGCCTTCTCATAACATCCAGCACGGTGGTCTTACGAATGGCATTGGCCTGGCGCTCAACAGTCAACGGAGTATACCCTGTCATGAGGAAGTGACACCTCGGCGTTGGGATCAAAGACGCGAGCAACCCAACCAAGTCATTGTTCATGTATCCAGGATAACGCAGTGTCGTTGTGCTAGCAGACATCACAGTAGAGACTAGCGAATTCGTTTGAGCAAAGGTGGGGTTCGTGAGGTGAAGGCGCTCCACAGCGATTCTAGTCAATGCAGTGTTGTCAAGGACCACAACGCAGTCAGCATTCAAGGTAAGTCGCTTCAGTGTGAGGAGTGAGTTGTAGGGCTGGACAACTACATCACTTGTTTCCATCTGGTTGGGGAAGACACTGTATGTCTGAACCAACTTCTTGCTGTAGCGATCGTTTAAAGTCTCCAACAGATAAGAGCCCATACCTTCATTCAGACCACAAGAACCAGTAAGTAATGCCTGAGAACGTTAACTCAAAAAATGGCTATATCACAACAATACTTAGCAAATGTATTGCAGACTAAACAGCATGGAGAAAGGTCATTAATCCTATTCTATGTTTAATATTATATGATGTTTTACCCAAATGTACAAATATTAAGAAAACTAAGCATCACTAGAATATAATTTGAAACTAAATTTATTTAGCTATAAATAGAAATAATAAAAATACAACTACCTACACAGTTTTTTTTTATAAAAAAAAAAAGAAAGTTATTTACATTTGTGCAAACATCTAATATTGTGAAACAACAAAACCTCCCTAAAACATCATCATGTATATTAAAACAGAGAGGGAGTATATGGGGTTGCGAAAAAATGCTTAATAACTTCATGCGAACATACAGAAAAGTCTATCAAAGTAGAAGAAGCAGTAAATAAAACACTGAGAACCTTAACTTAAGCTTATAAGATTGGAAACTAGACCTTTACAGAGGTAAAAGACTAACATTATAATCTAAAAAAAAAGAGATGAATGAAAACCTGAGCCAGTGCCACCAGCAATGGAGTGGCAAAGAACAAAACCCTCAAGACTATCACTTCCATCAGCTTCTCGATCAATCATATCCATTATCTCCTCTTCAACTCCTTTCCCCTAAACCCAAATTTACCAACTCATCTAAAAACCATATTCGATATTTTATTTTAATCACAAAATAAACAAAAAAAAAAAGAAACCTGGTGATAACCACTGGCCCAGTTATTACCAGCACCACCACCATGATCCGCAACAAAGATATTCTCATGATTATAAAGATTCCTGTAGTCACCGTTCTGAATCCCATTGATAACTCTAGGCTCCAAATCAATGAGTAACGCTCGTGGGATATAGTGTTGGTCATCCGCTTGGTAGAAAAACACATCTTTTCTATCCCCTCCCTAACAGTTATTATTCAATTTAGGCCCAATCAGTGAGAAATCATGAAACGACGTCGAATCAATTGATAAAAAAAAAAAAAAAATCAGGGACCTGAGTAGCGAAGTCTTCGAGGATACCGTCTTTGCTGATGCCGTGCTCGAGGCAGAGCTGTTTCCAGAACTCCATCCCGATCTGGTTCCCGCATTGTCCCACTTGCAGCGTTATTATCTCTCGAGGCATCTTCTTCTTATGCTTCCTCTAGGAGAAAAATTAGGGTTTTGGGAGATCGATGATTGAGAAAATGAAATGATGGCGCGGATGGCCTTTTTTTTTAAAACAAAACTAAAATAAAAATTGCAGGGACTGAGTGAGTCTGGTGGTTCGGTAAAAAGGGGTTGTGAAGAGGGTTCTGTTCTGTCGGCATAGGCACACTCACTGCACACTCTCAGCTGCTAACCTGCGCTGTTTGTTTTGTTCGCAAAATCACATTGGGCCTACAATCGTATTTTCTAGGCCCATTATGCCTTGGGAAAGAATATATCTCATTGGCCAGCGGGTTCGGTTTCTTATGTTAGTTCCGGTCGGTTGAAATCTCGCCACAGTGAACCGGGAAGAAAGTTTTGGTTTTTTGGTTTAAATTGAATAAAATTTAAGAAATTTAGGTTTATTTTAGATAAGTCATTTCAAATTTTTGGTTAAGATTGGTATTAGTTGGTAAAGAAAATAATTAACTTTCTTTAGAAAACCGAATCTAACCGATTACCGAACTGAAACCCGAATTCTTTTTTAGTTGCTGAACGGAACCGAAAACATAAACTTTTCGGTTTGGTTTGGTTTGGTTTGGTTCGGTTGATAACCGCAGGCCTACTAGTCATTAGTCTCTCTGAAGTCTGAACCACAGGCATGCTATGTGTACCCTGACTTTCAAATGAGTATCTATTTGCTCCCGAGTCTTTTGATTATTAGTGTAGTACTTGTATTATTGGTGCAATGCATAAATCAGAAAGCTTAAATCTAAGATTAATACAATCACGTGAACTTCTTTCAATCTGATATCTTGAGCTCAACTCCTAGTATGTCCTTAACCTTCTCATACGTCACAAACGCAATCGCTATGGATGGCACTACCTGAAAAACAAAGAACATATCTGATTCAACTCTCATTGAGAAAAAAATAAAAGAGGAGGAGGTTTTGAGAGACAAACCTTTACGGAGTTTGGGACCAAACCCTTGTACAATGCTCCAAAGCCTTCATGTCTAACCGTTTTCCTAAACGCATCAATCATTCCAGAATACTCTATTGGAGCCTTGCCTCTACTACCATCACCTCCTGTGATAACAGATGAAGCGTCTTTCCAACCAACCATCTGCATTCTTCTACGAACTACATCAAGAGGGTACGCAACAGTTTGGCCCATTGTTCCAGCAATGGCTCCACATGCAAGCCTTGTTGTCACAGTCAGCTCCGAGGTATCGTTGTCGATTATCCCAAAAGGTTTTGATTTGACCAAATAGTCTTTTAGTGACTCGTAGACTGCGAAGTTAAGGCCAACGTATGGAACCTGAGAATTACAAATGCGTTAGTTTTTGATGCATTGTGTAATATATATATACATGTGTAGAAAAGATGGGACTTACAACTCCGATTACAGATGGAAGCCATCCTCTGTACAACGCTCTTGGTCCTTCCTGACGCAGCACTGTCGATAGTGCATGGACCATTCCTCTGTATTGATAAGGAGATTTGTCTGTCTGAACAAAAAAGTGTTTTCAGACCAAACAAGAGACCCGACAAGAAGCAGCAGAACCTATTATCTCTGTCTAGCTAGTGTTGTAACTAATGCTAATGAGATACAGAGATGCTTTACCTGGACAGTGAGCCTACCGCGCACCATGTCCATAGGATAAGTGGCTGACATGGCAATTATGCCGGCACAAGCTCCAGCTCCAAGCCGTAAAAGAGGTGTCAGCTGAGCATCATCTGTCCAAAAGAAAATTGCCACAGAAGTAACAGTTAACAAAAATATACACTGAACATGGATAACAACAATCTCCATAACAAATTTAGAAACTATAGCATATCACTAGCTCAAAAAAAAGCGTTAAAAAAATTAGCAACACCTCTCATTGGTTACTACACATTGCAATTGTCTAGCCTAATAATCATCATAAGATATGGACTTACCGTTCCCTGTTTGCTGCCGGTAGAGGTAGAGTATCCCCCTGTCATTAAAACAAGGTCATAAGACTAAGCATTAAAATCAAAGCATAGACAGAAAAAAAAAACAACAACTTCAATCCTTAAAAGGATGCACACACACACAACACAGATAGTAAGGTCAGAGAAACATGATGATCATACTTGGAAGCCTGCTCGTAGCTGAAAAATTTGACGGCAGAGTTAGGAACAATACGAGCACAGTTAGCACCATTCCCTTTAAACAATCCACGGAAACCTTCTGTCCTCCATATATACTTCAATCCTTGAACTGTCCCATTGTACTTTATACTATGTGGATTTTGAACCTAAATAAAATAACACAAAATGCCAATTAAAGCAACATTCCAACAGAAAAAAAGACTCACCAATTTCAATTAAAACAAGATAAGTACAACAAGAACAACACTTGTAGTAAAATCACTGATGCCATTTTGTGTTTATTCAATTAAAACACAATTAAAGCAACATTCCAATAGAAACACTCATCAATCTCAATAAAACAAGAACAACACCTGTAGTAAAATCACTGATGCCATTTTATGTTTTTTTTTTTCCAATTAAAACACAATTAAAGCAACATTCCAATAGAAACATTCATCAACTTCAGTTAAAACAAGATAAGTACAACACCTGTAATAAAATCTTCAGTCTCTCTAACGGAGCAACAGCTGTCCTCGACCTAAGATCCGACCAAAACACCCATATATGTTTATTAAATCACACAAAAAAAAAGAAAAAGAGAAATTTGCAAAGAGGAACTCACACTCCACCGGCAACACCACCGGCGATTAAAGACTTGCAGATCCCAATTACCGCATTGCTCGGACTCTGCACATCTTTCGATGCCATAAAAAGCCTAAAAACCCTAAAAACCGAACTGAAACAAATCTAAGATCCGATCTCTTATCAGTGTCTCCCCTTCGATTGAGTTTTTTTTTTTTTTAAGGTTGTTTCTGTTCTGTGACGGCTCTCTTCTTCGCTTAACTGAAAGTGAGGTTTTCGACTTTTTAGCAAACAAACGGCTTATTACGCCGTGCAACTGATTATAAATACTCGGGACACGTGGCGAGCCGTCCACCAGAGCGGTTAAACCGGATAGGTCTTTTGTTGTTGAGTTTAATGTGAACCGTTAGATCTTGTGTTGATCGATCGAGTGGTTTTAGTACAGTCATTAGAGGAGAAATGTCGACGGGGACCATCATCCTAACCGAAAATGTAGTTGTGAATCTCGTCGGTTTTAACGGCGCGCGCAACTCCGTTACTTGGTTCTTATCTTATCCTGTTTATATATAACAATATATATCTTTTTACAATATTAGTTGATTTAGTAATGTTTTGAATAAATAACTGATAACGATCTCAAAGTTGATAGACCTTGCAAAAAATGTACTTTTCTTTATAGTAAAAGTTTTATTCCATTGAGTAACGTTATAACGGATCCAACAAAATAAAGTGCGAACAAAATCGATAAGCTTGGAGAGCTCTCTTGTGTAGGCCCAGTAGGAATATGCTATCTTCTTGAACCCACTAAACTCAAAGCTGGTTATAAATTTATCTGATAACATAATAGAATGAAATGAATTAGCAATTTGACGCTTTTGAACCAAGCAGTGGTAGCCTAGTGACAATTTCTTGAGGTTTCGTGTGTATCTACGTTAGTTTTGGGTTCGATTCTATCTAGGAACTAAATTATCATTACTTGGTCAGTCTGAGTTTGGATTTTGATCCAAGTGGTTTACATGATGGATCTGTTATCGGTTCATCCCTAACATTAATCGGAAGGTATTCCAAACTCAGGTCAGGCGGTATGGTAACCAGTCCACCTGTAATACTATATGTGTTCCTCTCGGAGCTGACCGGATCAGTCAATAGGATTTATCCTAAAAAAAAATTGACGCTTTGTATGTTTTTACTTTTACTACGTTAAATGTAAAAAGAAAACAAACTTATCACCTAGTTTAACTTCTTTAAAAAGAGTTTCAGATCTTTTCATCTATCAAGTTCGTAATTTATTTGTATAAATATATTATTCTTTCTCTTTTTAGCCAATCTTAAGAGAAGAAAAACTATCATAAAAGTAATTAATCGGCAAAGACAGAAACAAATATCGCCAGCTTGGATGTTGTAATAAGACCATACGACCAAAAAACAAAAACTAAAGGAAGAAAACAAAAAACCTTAAAAACACTTAAAATAAAAGACACACTCACTCACATTGTCAGAAACCTACATCGAGAAACACACTTCCACACACACCACCCCATTCATGAAAAACACCACAGAGAAAACCAAGAAGATGGTTGATGATCATGATCATGATAATGATCGTATACTATGGGATTGTGGGAGTCCACTCTATGACTCCTACGAGCTCGTCTCTCTCACTCACATCATCGAACGTCACTTCATGTATCTTCCCTCTCTCTCCGGCGCCAGAAAAGTTTGTTCTTCTCGCACACCGTCTGATTTGGGAGATAAGGCGAATCGCACAGCCAGCACCGTCGTGGATCTATGCTGCTCCTCTGATTCAGCGACAAGTAAATTGTTGGGTGGTGTTTTTGGGATGAAATGGTGGAAGAACAAGAAAAATGCTGATGTCGTGGAGGAGGTTCACAAGAAGAAGAAGACCAAGAAGGTGTTTCATCGGGTTCTCTCTAGGTTAAGGATTCATACAACAAGACCTGTTTCTAAGAATATGTGATTTTTACTCTCCTTTGTAAAAATATAAAAGTATTGTTTGTTTATTTGAAATATTATCGAATAAATTAACTGTAATGAGAATGTGATTTGAACTCTGTTGCTCCGTTGATTAAATGGAGATTTATCACATTTTTCAATATTGCATTATCATCATCATATACTGAACGTTAGAGAGGATGTAGGGCATGTAAAGTAGTGTGAAGTTTTGGATTTTTTTTTTTGACTACTAAGTTTTGGATTAACAACATGCAATGTACGTTTACGTCATAAAATATGAGATGTAACGCTTTACGAGCAGTTACAGTAGCAACGGTTACTAACAAAAAAAGTATTTAAATAATTTGACAAATTTTGTAATATGCAAAACGCACTTGGCGTTTATAGTTTGCAATAAACATTACACATGTCAGTAAATCTGTGTGAGAAAGACCTAAGGCCATCAGTATTGGAGGTTCAAGAGGGGATCGTCACACGTTTTACGAAAAAAAAAAAAATTATAATAATGAAAAGTGAAGACTTTGGCTCGTCCCACCTCTCCTGCATGAACCTGGGTCTTGACTGTTCAGCGGGTTCCATGCCACGTGGCAGTCCACTATTGGTCAATTCACTTATTTTTTTCTTTTTTTTTATAAAGCAAACGAAAAAATAGAAAAAAAAAGAAAATCCACGTGGTGAACTTTAGCCCAAGTTTACTAATGCTGATGCTCTAAGGAAGTAGAAAAAAACAGGGAAAATCTTAATATTTTATGTGTTTATCGTATAATACTAGTGTTGATTAAAAGTTTAGACAAGAAAACAACCTTCTCTATTACTACTATACATATTTATCAACTTCATTTCAATCAAAGCATTTCTAATGGTTAACTTCGTTTTTTGTTTCAAAATTTAAAATTATAAAAAAAGGAAACAATATATTCTCCAATATATTAAAAAAATATTATAAGTATATTTTATCATTATTTTATAATAAATTATTAATAACAGTTTATACTTTTTCAGATCTACTAATTTATCCATTCATTTTGTTTTAACAATAATCTGATCCAATTACTATTTATTATAAGTTAAAATTATTATATGATACAAGTTTACACATAAATGAACAAAGAATTTTAGATTTTATAAAAAACACAAATACATATATCTCTTAAGTGATTAACCAAGGTATTTTGAAATAAAAACAAGTTTATTTATTCTAAATTTTTCTAAATCGAACATAAAATTTTCAGAAACTAATAATTTCATGTTCTTAGTTATTAACATTTAATAAGATGAAAGTAATAATATAAACGGTGAAATTAATTGGATGACATTAACACTTCAATTTATTTAATTATAAAATAACAATAATAAAAGCTAATGATTAGTTTGTAAATAAAAAATTCATCTTAAAAAATGAAGAAGAAGTAAACCGTATTTCTTTAAAAAATACTGTTCTATTCTTCATCAGAGTAAAGTACCATTAGAATTAAAAATAAAGCAAAAAATATAAAATAAAACATCATTGGAGATGTTCTTAATGTCATTGTTTGCCTGATGATATGCCCTTTTTAGCAAACTGTAGAAATTAATTGTTGCACCATTGGAGATGTTCTTAATGTAAATAAAGCAAAAACATAAAATAAAATACCATTGGAGATGTTCTTAATATTATTGTTTGCCTGATGATATGCCCTTTTTAGCAAACTGTAGAAATTAATTGTTGGAATCTAGCTAAAAGGAAATGATTTGAATTATTAGAATATATATTAATAAAGAAAATTTAGATCTAGAATCCATAAGGGAGTGTCAGAAGAAAAATGTGAACTTGATAGAAAACACAAGTGAATAACAAGGACAAAACATGTGAAGCAGTGTGTATAATGGCTTTGCATTATTTCATGTCTTGTCTGACAATAGTCTAACAAACACATGATTTATAGACCCAGTCAATGATTTAGTCCTGGAAACTTGGTTTATTTTTAATTTTGATGTATTGAGAAACTCGCAAATGGGCTTATTGGTTCAAGTTTATTATGGCCCATATAATACAAAATTTTGAACAGAGTCAAATTGCTATCGGATCACTTTTTCTTTTAGCATACATAGTTTTTAGTTTAGCCGTTACAAGATTCCTACATAAAGCAATAAAGCTCAACATATCAACGAGCATCTTCAAAAGCTTGATTCTTCCTATCCAATTGATACAAGTTATGAATTCCATATGTCAATCATTATAAATTAATATACCAAATATTTTTCCACAGAAAAATAACAAAAAAATAGAAATCTATTTCCTATTATCAAAGATTAGTTGAGTTAAAATCAAAGTAAAAAATGTATTGTTAATGAAAACTAGCGTTAATGTAGATAATGCTTACTTCTTCGTATGTGGTTAGTAGTAAAGATAGAGATCACATTAAAGTGAAAGTCATAAAAAAACAGTCAAAAGAAGCACACCAAAGAAAAATGTGAGTTATATTCCCACAAAGAAATCAGGAAAGTGGGCCTACCATTGGTGGTTCGTTTGGTGTGATAAGAGGTCCCACTATATGTACACATGGGCCACTTTTATTTAACGTTTCTTTCTTTTTGGACCTTTAATTTACGAATATTTCCTTTTCTTGCATCTAATTTTTCTTTATCTTTTTTTTCATATTGTTGTTATTTTGCCCAAATTTATTAAAATGCTATAAATATTTTCAAAAATGAGTCTGTCACATCTTTTAACAAAGGCCAAAACCCTGCTTTTCTTTTTACCTCAGTGGTCGCTGACATCGAAGCTAAAAAGAAAAGCTATTACATATACTCTATGGTTGTTATAAAAAGCAAAAGCAAAACTCATTCTTTTTCTTTATAGTTTGGTTAATTCTTGATTTTGTTGGTGTTGGTCTTTATCTATGTGTTGTAAAATGTCCACTGAGAAACAAAGATAAAAACTCTATGAACCACTAAAACATATATACATGTAATGCGTTATTCATCTAAAAAGGTAAAATTTATTTAAAAAAACCAATCATTTTTGTATTTTTTACAACTATTATTATTGAAAAACCAAAGTAAGTGGTAAAAAGGTACAGGTCAGCATAAATGTACAGACGGCAGAAGATTAGACGGAACTCAGAGTGGATGCTCCGTTTGGTTAGAGTGTGGTTGCGTCACAGCTCAGAGGTGGGAGAATAATTGAAACTAGAAGTAAACGCTCACACTATTAAACGCAGTCGTTTTAATGAACGCCGTTTATTTCTTTTTATTACCCAAGTGAATATTTTTATACTCTTGTCTGCTTACTACCCGTGTGAAAAGGAGCGAAAAATTGCAGAAAAAACATAGCAAAAACCCAGAAGAGTTTTTTTCTCCCAACAAGACCAAACTAGAGAACAAGTAACCATAAAAGGCAAACAGAGAGAGAGAAAGAGATTCACAAGTTTGGTTACTTTATTTTTACTCCAAAGTTATGATTTTCACATCTCAGACAGCATTTTCCTCTGTCTTTTTCTCTTTGTGATTTTCTCCTCTTCTTCTTCTTGTTTTGGGTTTTCCAAGAAAACCAAGATACAAAAGAGAGGATCTAGTAAGCACAAGTGAAGCAGCTATAAACCAAATCAAGAAGAAACCTCTGAGCTATAAAGGTTAAGTTTTTTTTTTACATTTCTTTCTTCAAAACTCTTTCCTTTTTATATTCATTCACTAACAAGTCATTCTCCTCTTTATCAGACATTTAATTGGAAAGAAAAAAATGGCTGAGCCGACAAAACTAAGACTAGTTCGTTGTCCGAAGTGTGAGAATCTCTTATCAGAGCCTGAAGATTCTCCTTTCTTTCAGTGCGGTGGCTGCTTCACCGTCCTTCGTGGTGAGTACTGAGTTCTTAAAAATCAACAATAAAATGCTTAAAACTTTGATGAGTCTATTTTTTTGGTAGAATCAATGTAAAGATTTTTTTTTAGTTTTTTAGACTTTTAAGTTGTTGTTTTTGATGTTCTTAAGACATAAGAGTTTATCAGCTTCTGATCTGTCTTTTTTTTAAAAAAAAATTTAAATTAAGTAGTTTTATGTTTATTTTCTTAGTGTACTTCTAAAGAGACTTGTTTTAATTACAAATTTAAGTAGTTTTATGTTTCTTTATGTACTAAATAACAGCCAAAGTGAAGGAGCGTGAAGTAGATTCTGTTTCAGACAAGTCCGTGGAAGATAGAGCCAAACCAGTTTCAGTTAACTCTACTAGTTCCCCTGAGAAAGCTATTGCTGATTCTAGTCAAACCTCGTCATCTGACTCTGATGTTCCATCAGCTTCTCCATCTTTGAGACACCAACTAAACATTCCAGTGGCCGTTGAGAGTGAGCCTTGTTCAAAAACTAAGGCTTTGGATGCATTAGGGGATAAAGATGACCCTAAATCTCAATCCGGGAGACAAGAATCCGGTTTGGACCGGTTTAGGAAAAGAACAACCAAGAGATGTGACTCTGATAGTGCCATCAACATCAACAACAACAGATTGTCTACTTCAATGTATCCTCCTCCTCCTTGTGATGAAGGCACTTCTTCTTCTTCTGGTCCTAACCACTTGCATGAGTTTCAGAAACATTTGAAAGATCAGAGCCGTGAAGCCATTGAGCAAGACAGAGCTGGACTTCTGAGACAGTTGGATAAGCTCAAAGAACAGCTTGTTCAGTCTTGCAATGTCGCTGGTGACAACAAACCTAAAGAACAGGTTCCACCTGTTTCTTCTTCTTCTACTTCCACTGGGTTGAACAACAAGGCTCCTCCAGTGCGGTTCTACAGTTCAGGAACAGGTCCTTATTACCATCCTGAACCACAGTTTCCTTACAACAACCACAACAGTGATGTCTCTATGCACCATGGTCATGGTCTGATGCATCCTTCTTATGGAAGAGGACCTCATCCTTACTTCTCCGGACAGTATCTTGGTAATAACAATGATCTCTTTGACGCATACCCGCAAAACGGACCATTTCATCACTCATCTTGCACTTGTTACCACTGTTGGAGAGGCTCAGTGATCCCTGATGCACCTTACAACGCTGGCTTTTATCCTCCTGAGAGTGTTATGGGCTTTGCTCCACCGCATAATCCTAGAACCTACGCTCCTCCTCGTGGTCTGCATCATCAGCCTCCTCATGGAAGATGGCCTAGTAACAACGCTGCTCAGATGGACTCTCTTTCACGGATCCGTCCAGCTAAAGTTGTGTTATCAGGTGGTTCTCGTCATATCCGTCCTTTGGCAGGTGGTGCTCCTTTCATAACGTGTCAGAACTGCTTTGAGCTTCTTCAACTGCCGAAGAAACCTGAAGCTGGAGGGAAGAAAGAGCTGAAGATGAGATGTGGTGCATGCTCTTGTTTGATAGATTTGTCTGTTGTCAATAACAAGTTTGTTCTCTCTACAAACAACACAACGAGACAAGGAGGAGAGGCTCGTGTAGCTGCTGATTACACTTCTGATGACTATGATCTTCTTGGTTACGTGTTTCATTCTTTAGATGATGAACCAAGAGACTTGCCAACTGCTCAAGACATGCAAATCGTTCATTCTCACTCCGCTAGCCTCTCAGAGGACGAGCTAAGCTCAGACAGTCTAACAGCTAAACCACTTGACTCGCCTCTTCAGGAAAACTTTGCTAACTACTCTTCAATCAACCACGAGAGGACTGGAGCAGGGAGCCGTAGCTTTAGTTCAGAACAGGAGAGGGTGACACTGAGTAAGACAATGAGACAGAACTCCATGAAGGAGGTCTCACTTGCAAGTGAGATGGAGGTTTCTTTCAATGACTACTCTCATCACAACAGTGGAGTATCTAAAGATCAACATCAAAGATCAAAGAAGAATGGGTTCGCTAGCATTGTGAAGAAAAGCTTCAAGGATCTGACAAAGTCTATTCAGAACGATGAAGGGAACAGAAGCAGTGTTTCTATAAATGGACATAATTTAACAGAACGTATGCTTAGAAAAGCAGAGAAGCTAGCAGGAGCCATTCAGCCAGGAAACTACTGGTATAACATTGTCACTCTTTTATATGATCATGTTATAACATTGTGTGACTCTTTTATATTATATGATCATGTTATAACATTGTCACTCTTATATAATGTGTGTTGTAGGTATGATTATAGAGCTGGATTCTGGGGAGTAATGGGTGGTCCAGGACTTGGAATAATACCGGTAATTTTAACACACATTTTAATATTTGCTTCTTGTCAATATGTTGTTTGAAAATGAAATTTTTTTTTTTTTTCTCTTTGTTGTTGTGTTATGTTTTGCAGCCATTCATTGAAGAGTTAAACTTCCCAATACCAGAGAACTGTGCAGGTGGAACAACAGGAGTGTTTGTGAACGGAAGAGAGCTTCACCGTAAAGATTTGGAGTTGCTTGCAGGTAGAGGGCTTCCTCCAGACAGAGATAGATCATACATTGTTGACATTACTGGTAGAGTCATAGATGAAGACACTGGTGAAGAGCTTGATTGCCTTGGAAAACTTGCCCCCACGTAAGCCTTTTTTTTGGCTTTGTTTTTTCTTCTTTACAAGAAAGTGTATCTGACATATGTTTGGTTTTTTTTTGGGGGAATGGTGTAGGATTGAGAAGATGAAGCGTGGGTTTGGGATGAGAACTCCAAAGAGAGTTACGTGAAGGAGAGATGCTTGTGGAGCAAGGCGTCTACAAATTTGTTAAGACACTAGTAATTATTATTTGGTTAGTTTTCTCCAAAACTAGTTGTTACCTAGTATCATGTTGAAATCTAAGAACATATAATATCTCCAATCTTTTTTTATGTCAACGAAAAGCTTGCTCAATGTGTTGACCCTCCTTCATAACATCCAACAAAGCAAATCGTAGACTATCTTCCTTGTTTCCCTCTGTATCATCACTTTTGTCCTTCTCAATATGTAATCGTAGATTATCTTCCTTATTCTCCTCTCAATCATCACTTTCGTCTTTCTCATTGTCTTCTTCTTCGACATATAAAGTTTCATCTGAGGTATTATCATCCTTTCTGCTGGCTGAGGAAGATACTTAGATATTGAATTTTACATGTGTATCGGTATTGTGATTCTTATCCTTTGACTGAAGACAGATGCACAACTGCGTGGAAAGTTTGCTCTTGACATAGCTTACAAAATTTGTGACTTACTGGTCACAACTAATGATAACCGTAGGACACTCGAAGGTATTAACCAAATCAGAAGGTAGGTAGCTCAACTCAAGATTGACCAGAGTTAGATTGATTCCAAAGTCTGCACAAACCATCAATTTTAGGTTCTCAAAGGTTAAGCTTGCATCCAAATTCAGCAACCTACCCCCCTTTGCTTTAACCACAAGAAAACTCCAACCTTTAACCGACGAGTTCCACATACCATAAAAAGAGTAGATATGCATCTTATTTCAATGGATTTTGACAAGCATATAAGGAGAAACAAAGAAGAGATCGTGAGAAAGAAGAAGAAGAAGAACTTTATGATTTCTTCAAAATAAAGTTAAAACAAAAAAAAAGTAAAGAAAATATTTTCAAAATCATTAGTAACCGTTTTAGGCAATATTTCTGAATTTTTTGAATATATTTCGGAAGAAACAAGATTCTACTGGTCGAAAGATATAGAAGATCTCGTAGAACCAACAATCTATTGCTAGTAGTTGGAAGTGAAAATCGTAGAATGTAAATGCCACTTTGTAGAAGAGAGTAGAAATATTAGATTGTAATCTCTACCAGATTAGATGGAAGCAAGTTTGGCATATTGCGGTTTGTAACTCTATTAGACTTTTGTTTTCTTCGAATAAGCTACCATCTAATTCATCGTAGATGGTGGATCATATCTTCTACCATCTTTAGAACGTTATTGAAGTTGGTCTTCCAAGCTTATTTTTTTCATCTTTATATTTTTCATAAGTGTTTATGTATGTTAAGATCATGTTTTGTATTTTTTTATATTTTATTTATATCTCAATTAATTGATATGATTTTTTATAAAGTCTAAGGGTAGTTAAAGTAAAAAATGAGCAAAAATCGATGTAGTTCTAATGAGACAACACATAACATAAGTTGTTCCAAATTAGCATATTTCCCTTTATTTTATTTTATTTTATTTTATTCAGTTCTAAGAAACTAAATCAAAACCAATTTACATATATAATCAAACAAATAATACTTACCAATAATTGCTATTATAAATATGTATTGAAGGAAATTGTGTCCTCAATACACAATTTTTTCTATTTTAATTTTTCTAATTATATCTAATTGTAATTTTTGGTAAGTTATAAAAATAAAAAAAATCCAAATAATATTACGTATAATAACTAAGTTTAAAATAAATGTTAACTAGATTTTGACCCGCGCTTAAAAGCACGGAAATTTTTTATGATTAAAAATTTATATAATTGGGTTTTGTCTTAATTTAAATATTTTTTTGGTATAAAATCAGTTCACCAAAGTTTGTGGTGATGATTGTTTTTCATTAGTTTTTAGTTTCATTTTTTAATTTTAGATTTTGTTTTAAAATTTTGGTTTTTAGTTTTAAGTTTATATTTTTGATTTTCAGGTTTTGGTTTGAGTTTTTAATTTTTAGACCCGCTGAGTTAGTTTGAACTGATATCACCAACAAACAAATCTCAAATAATCAAACATCTAATTTAAAGCTGAAAATATGACAATTTTTTTTTAAAAAAATTTGCAATAGTTTATTTTGTAAATAAACAAAAGCAAAAAATATAACCTGCGTTTTCAGCTTTTGGTTTGGATTTTAGTTTTTAGAGTTAGTGTTTGGTTTTGCTTTACATATTTTTTTTAAATCTATAAATTATTTAAGAAAAATAAAACAGTAAATTATTTAAAATTTACCATTGAAATTTATCAAAAAAGTGATTGTTATTTAAAATAAAAAAATACATTAACATGTTTTAAAGTACATGATTTAAATAAATGATTAATAATATATAATTTTGTTTTGTTAAAAATATTAAATTTTGGGTCTGAAAATAATAATTGATTTTTGATCTAGTAAGTTGGAAATTTATTCAATGTTTTTTGGAATTTTCCTTAATACTAAGCCCAAAACCAAACCATATAATTTGTTTTAAAAATAAAAGAAAGTCCAAGACTATATCTCAAAAATAACCACCGGTTTAATTTAAGTAATACGGTTCAATTAACTATATGCTTTGTATTATTTGTAACACTCTAGAAATGGTCCAAAGTTAAATTATAACTTGTATCTATTCTATTAAAACAGCACTGTGACCAATTGATATTTGTTTAGTCCAACTAATTATTTATAGCCTGTTATAGAATAAAGGAGAAGGTTGTAACTCTGTATATCTTATTCATCACGTGCACATACATATATATACATACAAGAGAATAAGCATATTCCTTAGGAGATAAGGATTACAACAATAAAGGGGATGATTATCCTAATCCTATAATGATTAGGATAACTACAACATATGGATAAATACAAGGGAGGATAGTGACTGAT